TGATGAAAAATTTGAAATACAATCTCCTATTTCATCTTAACATTCAAAACGCTAATATAGGCTTAAAAATAACACAATCCGTGCATTGCACGGGTAAAAACTAGTATTATTAAAAATTTTAAAGTTACGAAGATTGAATAATTTATTTTTTTTACAGTCCAAAAAAAAAAAAAAAATTCCTAAAAGAATGTTGTCCACAGACCTTTTCCTCTTTTTCTCCCCCACCATTGAATTCTTTGACTCTTCCTCGTGGAAAGAGACATTTTCGGCTCTATTTTCTCCTATACAACCCAATATGAAAGAACATTCAAAAATCCCTTCGCTTTATGAAAAGCAGAAAAGGTGTAAAACGAGTTGAGTTCTATTACTTTTAAAATGACATGATCAGTATTTTTTGTGAGTCAAGACTACAAGCATGATGGAACCTACTTTCACAAATAGGACAACACACAGCCCTGACGACGAGCTTTTCTTGCACCAGGTTAACAAACCTGGACGGCCGTCATAGTCCAGCCCACTCTGACATCGCTCATGAATGTGCAATAGGTTGAATCGAGATTCAAACTGCATACTTTCGTGTAAAATTTCGAGCAAACGAATGTCGATCGAGATTAAAACACTTGCGCAATGATATAGACGACGTTATCTTTCAACTATGCAAGCACGGTGAAGGATTCTGGACAGACGAACCCTTTGCCAGTGGAGATGTTATCAAGCAGCCAAATAAAAATAATGGATAGTTTTGCCCAATGTGATAAGCCCTTCAAACACCACTGAAGGTTGATAGTCATAATGATATATCACTACAAACACAGAGAAGAGGATCTATACTGCAGCGTCCCTTATCATGCAAAGGATCGAGTCGAGGGCAAAAGTTGCAGAAGTTCAAGGACAGATCTCGAAAATATATAATGACTAACTCAGAACAAAGCTTTTTTCCATACAAGTCTATTGTCATTGATCCATCATCTAAAGCATGGGCGTACAATAACGACCTATGCAATAAACTTGTAGTATGTTTGATAAGGTGGATTACATAATATTAGACCATCAAGAATGACAAGAAACTAAAATCTTGTTCATTGTACAGTCAACTATATCTAAAATATTGAACATGCACGTAATGTTATAAAAGCACCAGTCTC